TAAGAAGAACATACAGAATTGGAACGCTGGCATTGTTAACGTCGTTAACAATGACTTTTTGTTTTATTCGCAGAGCATTTTAAAAGAGGATTGCGTGAATTTCAATAAAATGCATGGGGGACTGAAGTCAATTAGATGTACTTTATACTGACGAAGGCTTTGTTGGAGTTAAAAACACCTGAAATGATGTTATCCCCTAAAAAGTGCCCGGTGTGAGAACTTTTGTATTATCATTTTGTTAACAGTGAAATCTTGTTTTCTTACCACACTTCATAGGTTCCTTGGGTTTTAATAGATCGCCCGTATTTGAACAAGCCCGCATGGTGATTTAACCAATTTCTCAATTTGCCCAGACGATTATAATAATGATATTTTTTTTCTTCCATTAGTAACGCAGGCCAATGCAGCTGGATGTGGAGGAAACCTGACGACTCCCACTGGAGGTCCTGTGACATCAACAAACTACCCCAGTAACTATGGCAACAATGAGAACTGCGAGTGGTTAATCACTGTACCAGTAGGAAGCATCATCAGTCTCACGTTTGACAGTTTCAACACTGAGGAGAATTATGACTTCCTGGACATCTATGATGGGGCCAGTGACAGCGCTGCAGTGTTACAAAGGTAATGTTTTAACACAAATTACACACGCATATTACACTTTAACATATAACTAGTGTTAGTAAATGTAATGGTCAATACCTGTATCCTAGGTTAAGAAAAAGAAACGAATAAAAAGAATACGATGTAAAATACTGTATGTCTAACATATATTGTTTATTTCGTGATGTCCAGGTTAACAGGTCAACAGTCAGTCAGCCCAGTCAACAGCACATCTAACAAGATGTTCCTGAGGTTTACATCTGACGGCACTGAAACACGTCAGGGGTTCCAGTTCTCCTACACATCTCTCACGTCAAATGAAACAAGTAAGATAAGTGTAATGATAATACAAATAAGTTTAAATATACATAATTAGAATAATAAAAATGAAAAAATTAAAACAATAAAAGTAACTAGAAAGGCCAATATTTGCAAATGTAGAATGCTTTACTCCATTTTCCTCCCCAAACAAAAATGGAAGATTCCAAATAAATGATACCGCAATTATCTAATTGTGAGCAGGGATACAAGGACAAGCACTTTGACTCTCGACATCTTTATCTTAAAAAATGCCACTCGACAATTGTCTCTCAATTTTTTAAAGATACAAGCTTAAGGGCGAGCACTTTGAATCTCAACAGCTTTACTTTACACTTATCTTGATCTTATGTATTGAAGGTATTTAAATACTTCTAATGACGATATTGTACCTATTTAAAGTTAAAACTTTTGATCCAACACAAAAATTCTCTCATCTAGAGCTTTCAACCAGTCACTCTGGTCTTCCTCAGTAGACTGACCCAGTGAAGCTTGGCACGTGGCTTCTTTGAAGTGTGACGTCAACACTGGGTCAAAGGTATCTGGTAGACGATGTCGGCCCCCGTCGCGGTTCAATGTGGGGTGATGGGCCCTGATGTAAATGGCTTCCTTCACCCCTCTCAAGAAATAGTCTTGTTCAGTGTCTAAAATCCTTACAGTGTCAAGTGAGGAAGACCAGAGTGACTGGTTGAAAGCTCTAGGTGAGAGAATTTTTGTGTTGGATCAAAAGTTTTAACTTTAAACATGTAACTACCAACACAGATGAACTTTCATGATAGATATTGTACCTACAATAAAGCTCTAATTGCACAGAATTGGAGGCTATACCGACAGGATCTATATATACTTTGAAACCATACAAAGATATTGAAAAAAAAAATAAATACGACTTACAAATACTAGGAACCTGACATATATATTGATTATGCTATACACTAGGCCAATTTGATTTGATTATATGGATGCCATCCTCTGCCGCAATCCCTGCCTCCCTTCCTCTATCGACAAAACTGGTAAATTTTATGACATAACCAATATATGTTTGCTCAGTTTGCAGATGTTTTGCATAATTGTCGTAAACGTATTTTGGAAATAAACAAAAATCAATGCGCGCACAGATGTCATCCATATAATCAAATCAACACCGCCTTATTTACAATCTGCTTCATGATACAACACCCGACCAGCTTCCTGACTCTTCACCAACTTCACCACTGACAGAGGACATGTTCTAGACAGGAGGAAGAAAATAAAAAAAAGGACTGATTAATAGAAGTTCAACTTATAGTATTGATGTAAAGCCACTGACTTTGTTAATGCCAGGACTAAAAGTATTCGAATGAAAGCTCATCTGTGTTGGTAGAATACATAGTTAAAGAGTTTGACTTGTTCCAACACAATAAGGAGAACTCACCATAAATTTTCGGCTGATCCCGTCAACCTTCGTCAGATTTGTGATGCAATCGCTGACTTTCCGGAAGTCGGAAACGTGATGACGTCAGGAGTGCATCAAAAGTGGCGGGAAGACGGTATCTCCCACCATCACGGTTCAGAGAGGGTTGGTGGGCCCTGATGTAAACTGCCTCCTTCACGCCTCTCACAAAGTAATCCTGCTCCGTATCTAGAATGCGCACCTTGTCCAATGTAACTGTATGTCCGGGGGACTCGATGTGTATGTGTTGCGACACTTCCGATGTGTTTGAACTGGGGCGCCTGTGTTCCAGAAATCTAGTCTTGAGAGACCGTTCTGTTTCCCCTATGTATGTCTCTGGGCAAGGTCCTCTGATATTTTGGCCTGCGCACCGAATGTGGTAAATCACGCCACACTTTTGTTCTTTGGGGGTTCTGTCTTTGGGGGCCACTAATAGCTGTCTTAACGTACGGGTCGTTTTGAAACACGTTTTAAGCCATGTGTCCCGAAGATTCTCCGTAAAGCTTCAGAGGTGTTTCTTAACAGAGGTTTAGTACGACTAAACCTCTGTTCTGCCTCGTAGAAGAGTTTGACTGACGGTTTCTATCAGTTGTAGAACGTTTGGGGCAGTTGCCTTGGAAACTGCCCACTTGGGGTAGCCACAGTTTAGCAAGGCCTGAGTGATGTGTTCTTCTCAGCCTCCCTATCTTGGGGGTTGGTAATAATGGTGTCCGCCCTGTGAAACAATGTACGAATGACACCCAGTTTGTGCTCAAGGGGGTGGTTAGAACTAAAGTTCAGATATTGGTCCGTGTGGGTGGGTTTTCTGTAGATCCTAATGTCTAGCGAACCATCGTCTTTCACCACTGTAAGAGTATCCAGAAAAGGTAAGGTTTTGTTCTGTTCTTCTTCTGTGGTGAATTTTTATGTCGGGGTCCAAACTATTAAGGTATTCAGTAAACTCGTCAGCGTGTGCTCTTTTTAGTTTCGTATGTGTATCGTCCACGTACCTATACCACCACAGTGGGGGATTGGGAGCAGTGTTAATGGCTAATTGTTCAAGATGTTCCATGAACAGATTACACACAATCGGCGAGA